AATGCACACTGTGAAAAATCCAAAGTCCACCCTCAAAAACCGTGGAAATGTTATAATTGCCTGGCAGGGTGTGAGGGTTTGTCGAAAAAAAAAACATCATAATTCAGAAAGCCTCGACATACTTGCTCTGGTTAGCTTCACTTCCGTTTCTGGTCCTGGGTTACGCTCTTTAATTCGGCGGCATAAACAATTTAGATAGCCCCCTACTATACGTCAGAATTCGAAATCAGTTCACCCAGACAAGCTTTCTTTCTCGGCATCCCACTCATAGCGCTAAAAAGAGAACGACGAGGTCATGTCATCAATTTTGGGTTGATTTATCTCCTAGTGGGTCACAAATTTTATGTACCGTAATTATGTGTTCCGGTATTGGACAGATTCTTTCAGCTGAAACTTCAGTTTGAAGCGAGTCCATTTGTAACAAGCTTTCGATAATGTAAAAATAATGTCAATATCCACAAGATTAATGAATAAGGGAGCAACGGAAGTAGATCGGGGGGGCTCTGTGCTCGTTCAGCCACATAGTCATTACGTCACCCTCATGCGGAGAATAACATCAGTTCCTAGGCTCTTATTGCTTCTGCAGAGGAAAAGTTTGAAATTGGATGAAGAAAGAACTGAAAGAACTGTACCCCAGGATATGGGCCCTCTTACGAAACGGAACCAGCGATCATGCAACTGAAGCTAATGCACTCATTCGCTGCTGCGAGGTGAAAATCCACCCTGCGAGAAAATTCCACATTGATTGGTCATCAACAAAGTAATTGTTGAATTGAAGGCTGCGAGTGTCTTTCACTGTAAGATCTATCAGTTCCTAGTTCTTTGGCAGTTACATAGTATCGAGCATACAGCTTCAGACCAAGCCTTCCAAACCTTGCTAAACGGCGGTGGGTGGGTCAAGCGTTCTGTGCCGTACAGTCCGGATCTAGTAGTGGTATTTGCCCAATCAAAGATGGACTGTGTCTTGTTGCAGCTTTGATGCTGTCATCAATTTCGCAAAGCTTCATTTTGGCTTTCCTGGCTTGCCACGCACTCCTACAACAGCCCGTACATGGTATCAGTGCATCGTCATAATGCTCGTTACTATGATTCAAAGTTACGCTTGATAGCCTTTTCAGGGTGGAGCGCTGAGCTCCAATAATCGTAATCGTATTACTATGGCTCAATCCCAAGTTCCATCTCAGGAGCAGGCAGCACATCACTGTTTCCAAGCTGGAAAATATAACGAGTCTCATTCCTCACACAAAGTCTAACTTCTTCCCACTCCACTTTCTGCCTTCACAAATCCTTCATCATTGATCAATTCATAATTCGACATGGGCGACGATAGATACTATACTCTGGCCGAGGGTGTGCCCTTTCTTTATTATTTGTGATTTTACTATAGACTGACTTTTGCAGGCTGTCCCTTCGCGAATAGCAGCACCGCTGTCCTGATGCAAGGTAGACAGGGCGGCAGCCTCGGATTACTGCAAGATACCCAGCTCATCGAAACCCTTGCTCATTTCTCTCGGGAGAGAATTCCCGAGCGGTTAGTTTTTTCCTCAGATGGCTCTTGGGTTCCAATTATCTACTGTGCACTGACTAGAGATTTTGAGTAGTGTCGTTCACGCCAAGGCTGTCGGGTGAGTTGTCATGTCCCACTATACGAAGGATTTCGGATTGACAGTTGTAGATCATTTGGTGAATTCGAAGCCACACGCGATTGCTCTGACTTCACCAGCGCCCAATTCCTCAACACAGTCGGAAAGAAGACACCCGTGCTGCAGCGGGTGTCAACCGTTGGGCCCGAGTCCGGATCTGCCGATACCTCCCGCGATGTGCACGGATGGGCGATGAAGTTTTATACCGAGGAGGGAAACCAAGATTTTGTTTTTAACAATACGGTGTGACATCCATTCCTTCTGAGACACTTTAGTCTCTTTTGTTATTTATTTCTGATTTCGCTCGATTTAGCCTGTCTTCTTCATTCGTGATCCGATCAAATTCCCGTCTATGAACCGTTCTCACAAGCGGCATCCTCAGACCCACCTCCCCGACCCGAACATGGTAAGTTTTATTATCTTAACCGCCCATAGTATGTCGCAGAACTAATTGGTATCGCAGTTCTGGGAGTATGTGATTTCCCAAGCTCTAGTTATCGAATCAGGCTAATCATTTAGTTTTCACGTCGGCAATCCTGAGGGTATTCATCAACTTCTGGTTCTGTTCAGCGACCGTGGCACGCCTAAATCAGTTCGCTACATGAACTCTTACAGCGGACATACATACAAATTTACTCAGGCTGTAGGTAACACTGCGCGTGGGATCGGGATCTTCTACTAATGTGTGCATAGGACGGCTCGTTCAAATATGCCAAAGTCCACGTCAAAACGCAGCAAGGGGTTGAGAACCTCTCCTCTCAAGAGGCCACCAAAATCGCCGGGGAGGATCCTGATTTTATGATCCGTGACATGTTCGAAGCAATTGACAGAGGCGACTATCCTGTCTGGAATGTCTACGTCCAACTGATGAGTCCCGAAGAGGCCGAGAGGTACAAGTGGAATATCTTTGACATGACTAAGGTTTGGTCGCACAAGGATTTCCCTCTGCAGCAGATTGGTCGACTTACTATGAACCGCAACGTGAGTCTTTGTTTTTGAGTTTTATATTACAGTCGCTGAATTGGAATAGCCACAAAACTACTTCGCCGATATCGAGCAAGCTGCGTTCTCGCCCTCGACAATGGTCCCCGGAATCGCTGCGTCCGCTGATCCAGGTAGGCCAGAAAGCTGGAAAATTATAGGCCTTATGATTTGCAATGACTAACTCTCCCCGAGTGCTGCAAGCAAGACTCTTCGCATACCCCGATGCAGCCCGCTACCGCCTCGGTGTCAACTACCAGCAACTCCCCACCAACGCCGCGAAGGCGCAAGTCTACTGTCCCTTCCAGCGTGACGGAGCCATGCGATTTGATGGTAACTACGGTGGCGATCCCAACTACGTTGGCTCCTCGATCAAACCCATCAAGTTCTACCAAGACCAGAAGGGAATTCGCGCTTCTGCACTGGCCCTACACACCGAACACGAAAAGTGGGCAGGAGAGGTGTCCGCCTATACCAGCGAGATCACTGACGATGATTTCGTTCAGCCCGCAGCGTTGTGGGAAGTTATTGGCCGCCAGCCTGGTCACCAGGATAGAGTCATCGAGAACCTCGTCGGTAATATCAAGGGTGTTAAGTACCCTGAATTGCGTAAGGCTGTCTATAGTAAGTTTCCCCTGTAGCCTGAACCGAGCATTTTCGGTGAATCTGTCTACTAAGAAAATGAGGCTAACACCGAGCCTAGGCCTCTTCGGACGTGTCAACAAGGATCTCGGTTCTAAGTTGCGGCAGCGCACAGAAGCAGCGATCCAGGCTGCGTAGACCTCGGTAGGGCTGATTCACATATTCATTCTACATCACAAAATGAGTATATACGCGTCAGTCCGAAAAGGGAATCATTGAAATGATTAGGTTTCTGGGATCAATACGATTGAAGGATTGAATCATCGGGTTCGCAGTTTGTCTGACCAATGAGAAAAAAAAAACAAAAAAAAAACAATGACCACCTGGTTAACGAAAAATTGATAATTGTTTGAAATGGATAGCCACTCTTTCTCATCTTCTATTCTACACAAAGTGCATGCTGTCCTGCAACTGCATCCAACTCTTGGATGATTTTGTTGAGGGAGACACGGCGGATTTTGCCCTACCGTCACCAGTCACGTGTAGAATTCGGAATCATGGCTCTCAAGAACAACTGAGTGGAATGATTTGGATGTCTGACCCATCGGTCCATCAGTAGCTAGAGAGTAATTAATCAAGTAGGGGTGTCGGAGACACGTTAGGCGAAATCGCGAAACTCACGGTGGGACTGGATGTCTAATTGTGCAGATGGGCACGGAAATCCCAAATCATACAATGAGATCTGGAAATAGTAAATCCCTTCGACACTACGGCTTTTCTTTTCCAGTCTCCCCACTTCAATATATTGATTCAGGGAAAATTTGTCGTGCCATGAGGCATAGCAAACTCTGTCGTTTCAAATACCGGTTCAAGCATACGTTATACCTAAGCCTCAGAGCCGGCGAATTGTCTTTGCTACTGCATTTAGAGTTAGTGGCGTGGACCTGTAACTCAAAAAATCAAAGAAGTCTAATCACTCCATACTGGGGCATTGCGATAGTTGATATGATTGGTCAGATACTATTACCTAATTTGGCTTGATGCACTTTTGCCGACCGTCAAAAATACCGTACTTCCAATTTCTAATACATACCGAGCACCCCGCGTTCCTAATTTCCTCTCCCAGTGTTTTAGGAAGGCCGTTCAGTTGCGCCGGCCCTCTCTTAAACCCTTAAGGCTTAGTTCCCAGTGAACTGATTCACTACCCCAGGAAGCAAATTCCGTGATGCATGCATCGCAGAAACATGTAGCTACTTCATAGGCACACTGCGATTGAACTATTTCTGAGCCCTGATCAAGATTACATACGCTCGGCTGAGGACAACAACCTAACCCACAACTGATCTTGATTGCCTACCAGTACTGTGGTACAAGTAATAATATATATGGAAGTAATTTACGACACCATAAAAACGTCACGATACGACTGTTGGGTGAAGGATGTATTTCTTGGCAATTAATCATCATCTCTTGCTGCTGATCGGCAGCTTGCTCTCACGCTCGGCCTTCTCTGCGCTTTCCATAGGCGAGCCACAGATCTATCATAATTTTATTTTCGTAGTAAAGTTTTGCCGCGCGGTAGCAACGATTTAGCCATCACCTTCGGACCTCAAGGATGTTTGCCTCTACATCAATCATGAGCGCTCAAGCGAAGTTCTCTTTGTCCTTCATCTTTACGGCTAGAGCTCACTTTCTTTGAAGCTTGTCTCTGCTACGTGTATGTGTCATGTAAGCTGATCTCAACCTTCTTGCTTCTTGGACCTTCAGCAGAGCGAATGAACATAGCCAGCAAGCATGTCGAGCCAGGCCCCACAGGATTACACGTCTGCCCAGCATTTTGCCCTCATATATATTGATCAATATGGGAAAATTCGCCATCAGGTGTCCCCTTCACTCGTCCACTATCGCGGCACTATCCTCAGCCCTCAAGTCACCACGGAATTCCTGAACGCGGTGGCAAGATCCACTCAAGTTGGGCTGCAAAAGCCTTCCCTAGAATTCGCTTCTACCCAGCTATTTCCTAGTCACCTCGTGACGTATGACTCTAACGATTCCTGGTTGCCAGAAGACAGCAAGATCGAGGGACATATTGCGCCCATGACGAGTGGATACCATTACAAACCTACACAATGGCCAGGAACTGGAAAAGCTGGCTCGGCAATCTTGAAAGATGAACTGTTTCACATGGAAAGCCCTTGTATCCAGAAGCACAGACTGAAGCTCCAGGAAGCCGTGTTATCTATCAAAGATACAAACTTCCTTCGTCGATACTACGAAAAGGTTTTCCAGAATATACAGCAAACCAATTGCCGAATCCTGGCAAAAGCCTATGTGAAACTTGTTGAGCCCCAAAAGCAAGTTCACCACCCATACAATGGGCGAAAACTCGCGGGGGGAGAATTGCAGCAATTGAGTCCCGAGGAGAGTAAGCCACCCTGGTGGCCTCCTGGAGTACGCCATCGAGAGCCCGACCATTTACTTAAAGCAGGTAAGAGGACACTTTCCTGCGCATGATACTCGCTTAACTCATCATCTCACTAGAACGCATCGCGCTTCTTCTCCATATTCTTTGTGATTTGCGCTGCAGTCACGGAATTACTTCACAAAAATTGAAGAATGCAGAGCAGACTGTCCGGTCGCAGATCATCCCGGTCGAGCGATTAGAACTCCTAGATGAGTTGTATCGTGTTAGAGGCGAAGAGGAAAAGTTTTTGGATGGCCTTCTTGGTAGGGACTTGGAACCGCCTATTATTCACAATCTAACGAGGTATATCTAGACAAAGACGCATATGTTCTTGTTTCGCGGATCAATTTACCCGTTCCCGATGAAATGTCCAGCAAAAAGGGCCGACCGAATAGTCGGGTCTCTTCGAAGTACAAACAGGATACAGCGACACACAAATCATCATCTCGTAATCGAGTTGTGTACAATATGCCTTTGGACCTTCAGCATAGCTTCGCAGGATACACCACTGGCCAACAATCTATGACAAGTTCTTCGCCAGCCTCTGCAACGCCGTCCGCTCCCCTTGAAAACAACTGCTCGGCGATTGAGGAGGCATGTCTTTCGACAGCCATTGTTAACCCCACGGAGTTATTATCCTCTGATTATGCCAACAGCCCTTCTTGGCTTATGAACTTTCCAGTAATGGAGTGTTATGCGGCACTTTAACTGCAAAATGTCAGATTGGCTATTTTGAATGGCAGTATTTTTGCAAATCGCATCTCAATTTACGAAATTGGAAGGTAAATACCGACATTTACTCTGCTTGATACTTGCCTGTGTTATATACTGTTGTCACCACACAACATCAAGGGGGCTCCTTTCTTCTGCAATCGATTCTGGAGGGCATTCCCGGTAGAAAAGGCATGGGCTTTTCATTTGAAGTACATCCCGTGATATCTTATATCGTTAATTCCAGATAAACTTAGTCCACTAGAAAGAGGTCTGGGAGCGTGGTCTCTAAGTATGAAAATATCACAAATTACCCTTTTTACGTTCATCTTTCAGGTCACAGGCCATAAGAGCTAACGTAATAGCCAATTTCAGATACCACTACATCAGATTGTGGACATCCCCGGTTAAGAAAACTGCTACCCCATCCCCGTGATGGACCATACATGTATTTATAACTGAGCTAAATGTGGCGTAATTAACAACTGTGGCTACTAGAAGTCTTAAGTCTATTTTGATCACTGTACCTGTAAGATACGGCACTACGGCCGATATACGTATAATGGTAGGCAAAATGCCTCATTCGAACTCCTCGGGGCCTTTTTTTTAAAAAAGGCAAAGATCCACGCAAGTGTCTAGAAGAGCGAGTATTTTAGAAGAATTCATGGTCTTAAGGAAAATCTATCATCAACGCCATCACTGGTGCTATCACTAGTCGTAAATCAAAATGTTGCGAGAACTTGTGTGAACAAATAACGGCAGGATGGCAACCAATCACCCAAGGTGAGACTGATAGCAGGTAACGACGACCTTCACTCTGTCGGTATTATAGCGGGGCAACCGGTGGAAAACTGTAATTTCTTTCAAAGACGTACCCACTGTTTTGTGACTGCATCTCCGTTATCTTTAGTGGAACACATGTACCCGCCGGCACCGAGCCAACTTCATTGTAGGTCATGGCAAATGCATCCACAACTCCAGGTCTCTGACGGACTCCTGGCTGCTTCATCTATATTCATTAGTTAGGTGAGCTTTAAATGGATCTCTGCATATGTTATATCACTTTGATGTTTGGAATTTCGCCCATACCTCGAATTTTCTGGATCTCTCTATCCGTCGCTTCCATCAGTTGCTGCCATTGGCTTTGATAGCCCTCAAGCAATGAAACACTACTTTTTTCTCCCTCCTCTGGTTGGCAGCTTTCCCTTAGATGTTTCCATTGCCGTTGGCATGTCTCATAATATGCAAGGTGAGCAACGGCTTCTTTCGGGCGGTCGAAGTCTCTCATTTCAACTTGATCCATTTCAGGCTAAAAAAGAGATATATTGGAGAATTAGGCACTGCCTACCAAAGCGACGGGGTATATGATAACTTATTTCACTAAAGTTCACGATCAAACAAATGGGGTGGGAGGAGTCTTTATTCATTTTTGAATGCTCTCGACCCATAAGCGGGACTGCATGACTAACATTGCTGTCCAATCGTAGCCAAGTAGTTCGATTTAATTCTCAAAATATCTGAAACTAGTCACAGACTACAGCCGGGGCCCCGATTTCTTGAAACAATTTCCCCCTTAGATCAGAAAAATCCTAGCGTTATTTCGTCGTTACATCATTGTCCGGTAAGAAGAAAAAGCCTCACTACCTCGAAAGGCCTTCTGGTCAATCGTACAAGTCGTAGCATCTCCAGACAAAGAAAATTGCCAAGGCACTGCCACACTTCAGCCTCTCTATGGTCTCGATAGGGGCAAATTAGGTTTTAATACATCACGCTACCAATGTGATATCCAGACTCCAAAGGGGTAGGTGGGTGAGTCTCAGCCTGGCAGTGCAGTCTTGGCGCGTGAATGTCTGAAGCCAATAACGATGACTCAACTAGTTGAAAGCGTAAATCCAGAAACTAGGGCAATAGGATAAACCTGTGGATCCAAATTCCCCGGGATTTATTCGATTGATGGGTGTAGGCTTTATTGATGCGATGGGGATTAATCCCTTTCTAACTCGCACAACATTTCCCTTTCAGGACGGGTCAAGATCGTCTTATTCCGCCCCTCGCTTTCCCTTCAACAAGAACACCATGACGCACTAAATATTTATCTTAAGAATAATGTTGACTTCCTATAGAAGATTCGCTATTCCTGGCTATTCAGGAGTTACGCTAAGCTACGGATACCCTGATATTCCGAAAGCCACAACATAATGCGCAGCATTCATTCAAATCGACTAATGGCCTAGGGACACAGCATATGGCGAAGTCTTAGGGTCTTTGGGCGAAAAGCTTTTGGGAGAAAATTTGTGGTATGTTGATTGGGCCGCTCATTTTGATTTCAGATTTTCTGGGCATAGTCACTAGCTGCTGTTCGACAAGGTACACTGAGATCGTCATCACAAAAGAGTGATCTACGGGCCATAACTCCCCAAGCCTATTAAGTACTACGGACCCGTCAAGACTTGCATGGCCACAAACATCCCCACCATAATCTAAATTAAGCAATGTGATTCACCTCTAGCCGCACAGTTCTTCCACATTGGGCCGAGCAACGAGCTGGAGAAACGACCAAATCTCCCAATTTAGACTTACCTGATTGGAAATGAGGAACCGAATTCTACAATACATCCCAGCTGGTATTATATGCATCCCTAGAGTAATTCTTAACTGGGTTTCGAGAGCATGCCAGACTATCTCTCCTAGGCATAGGATTTGTTTCGCGCATGGCCCACCTTCAGGCATAATGGTGCCCGAGGGGTTCTCACGTTATTGTCTGAGTGCCTGAATGGGATTAAATATCCGTTGGCTGCCTTTCGTTCCCGCGAACTTTACGCCCACTGCCCCTGGACACCCCTCGGGGATGTCTGGTCACCATGCACTGTTGCACTTGATAAATCATCATACTGATTGATTGTCTACAGTCTAGTTTGCCTGTAGATTTACTATGAGCTAGGGTAGGTAGTACAGGTGACCAACTGTACCTCCCATTTTGATCTCACTTTTTTTTTTCATTTGTGATGCCGCCCAAACGAGCCGTGTCAATCGGAGGCGGTGGGAAGATGGTCTGTGCGACTGAAGATGCGCTGAAATACCCCTGGTTTTGGGACTGCTACCAACTGCCCTTCTGATAGGTAGCAAGTACGAACTCAGAAGGAATGTGAGTTCATTTTTCTCAGCAAAAAACATAAATCGTACCGGTAAGGGCAATGAAGAGTAGATAAAAATTTTCTGACCGGCCAATTTCTCAGTTCGATATGACTGAACAGGACTTCTATCAAGGGATGGTTTTCCCAAGTGATCACGATCTTCCTAAGAACTGCTTGGCCAGCACTATCCTTATAACTATCGTAGGTCTCGTCCTTTCTTACCTTCCACTCGGCACCGTATCTATGTTCTTTGCCTTTTCTGCCATTTTCGGTGTCGTGTTCAAGTCTACTCTTCATAAATCAGGGACTTCGGCGACGCTGTACTTGACATGCCTGAACGTGTCTACCCTCACGCTCAAGTCGAGCGATATTTGTGGTCCGAAGGGTCTAGTCCATCTTGGCGGTTGAGACCAGGCGCCCCGGGCCTACCGGAGTTCATCCCCTCGCCATATCGGTGGTCTCCAACCTATCAGCCCCAAATGAACAAGCAGCGGGCGACCTCACTGGCTCCGCTGTCACTTCCCGCCGATCCATGCCCAAAACTTCAATCACAAAGCTCAAAAGGAGCATCCTCCCCAGGCAAGGAATCGTTGACCTGTACCTCCATGTCGCCAAGGTATACACGCTCTCACTAAGCTTTTATCGCAAACGCCCTCCAATCAGTATCCTATACCGCTAGCATTGCTAACTTTGGCCTATTTTATAGGCGTACGAGCTTGCCATATAACCCCGCACCTACGAGGCCAAATGCTTCAGCCGATAAATATGACAACAATCAAACTATCCAAAGCAAAGTTGAACATCCCAGGGAAACAGCACACAATCCTGCTCGACAAAAAATCCAAAAAAAATGGAGAGAGAATGAAGAAGACAGGCAATCAAGCCTTTTTCGTTCCAAAAAAGGGAAATATTGATAGAATGTGCAAAATTATCAACCACGCTGATAAACATTCATGTTGTCAAGAGACAGATTCAAACCAGACGTGGCAGGGTAGCGCCTATCGCTCGAAGCTGCCTTTGACTCAAACTGAGATCATACCCGTCCCATCCCCTTCACCGACATTCCATCATTGTGGTCATCTGCCTGTCGAAGACATTTTTCCAGATATTCCACAGCCGGAGACGAAAGATATACTCAAGGAGAAAAACTCGGTATCGAACAGCCTGTTTCATTGCAAGACGTGGCTGAGGGGTGTGCCAGACGGTCGAGACGATAATAATCACAGTGATACTGCGGCTTCCAGCCGTAGAAAATTTCAGATTGTTGAGCAACCTCCTCTTTCCATGCCGAAGGTATTCCCAGAGGCCAAGTCAGCTGATGTACCTGGGGTGGATTTTTCACATCCATTGCAAGGTCCCGGTACTGGATGCACTGGAGCCTACCAGAAGCAATTCTTCAAAGTTACCTAAATCGCTTCAAGTCGGACAAGCATCTTCGACCTCAGTGGCTACTGTCGTGTCCACAACGCATATGCTGCCACTTGCTTCGCTGCCAAGTGAGACACCTTTTGAGCCGCAAGAGCGATGCGTTGTTTCAAGCCGAGATGTACCAATAGATATGCCACTTTTTGGCTGCAGTATGCTGGAACGTATGATTGCCCCAAAAAGCTGCCGAAATTTGGCTGAGAATGGAGTACATGCTCATTCGGAGGGTTTAGAACCTGGCTGTTTCATATCATCTGCTATCGGTGACTCGTCGGAATCCTCGCAAATGCAGAGAAGAACAATCTATCAGTCTGAACCACAACCACTCAGTCTGGACTCAAAACGCCATCACCGGCTAGTATTTACTTGCCTTATTTTAATTCCGACATGTCCGAACTGGGAGACAGGATGGATTTGCGGCCCAAGCAGCCCCTAAAGGATCCCAAATGGACTCTACGGGAGCTTGATCTCTCCGTGAAACGTTTCCCTCACCACATCCCCGTTCTTACATCACCTGTCATCTCCTTTTTGCGCAAAAGCAAAAGGAGAGACCTTCTAAGACCCTTTCGCGTGATCTTCCCTGAAGTCACTGAAAGTGTTTTGAATTCCCTCTGCGCTACAGTAATTGCTCGCAATTATCTTTTTTCTACTTCAAAATTTGATCTCCAAAAGCTCTCACGAAATTGTTACAATGTATCCTCCCCCGATCAAGCTGATACAAAAGCCCGCAATTACCGTGGAGCTCACTCCGCTCTAAGGTTACTGGATCAAGACGAATGCCAAGCTCTCGATCCTCAAAGTGCTTACCTTTGCCAAGCATCTGATAAAATTGTTCACCATCTTATATTTACAGTCATGGGTCGAGTTGACCAAAATCTGAAGTCGACGGTTGAAGTCTTAGCTCAAGTTCTTGAAGCAAGTGCCTCGAAATGAACTTCGTTATGTATCATAATTTTGCTCAATGATGTTTTCATCATGACGTGTAGATCCTAGAAATGTTTTCCCGGCTGCTAACATGTTTCCGGGCGCCCTACTCCGATTGTAACTTACTAAGCTACCGTTGGACAGAAAAGGTTCCCTCTGTGGAGCTTACAGCGGTAGGATTGGCTATATGAGACTTCGAAGCTGGGCTGGACCACTCTTCTTTCGTTATTATGCCCTAGATGTTTCCAGGGTGGGTAGGTTGCGTTTTGGTAGGACCAACTACAAGGCTCAATACTATGCCAAGAGGGAACCCCACCAATCGCTATGAGGGTCTGCGGGCGATTTTGCACGGCCGGAGTATATGCTTAGCTGCAAGTGTAGAATAGCACCTGTGGTCGATAGATCAAGTTCAGTGAAAATGATATTGTTTAAATAATGGAGGTAGCTGTCGAAGCTATATAATTACCGAGGGTATTGGTCGCTCCTGATCAATTTGATATTCGTCTGTACCTATGGGGATTTTATTGTTAACAGTGCAGCTATTTTCCTGCGTTGGGCGCATACTACGATAGGCCTCTGCGAGACTTTTTAATTATATCCTAGAAGCCATGTATTGCTAGACTTTTTTAATGCTAGTTTTGATAAGTAACCTCTATATCATGTTATTTGAAGCTTACGATTGTAAGACTATTCCATATTATACTTGGACAACCCGAGGTAGTCGGCATATACGGCAAGTTTCTGTAGAAGCGTAACTGTCTCGATGTTTCTTCTTTTCCTAGCTTGGCACAGAGACATACCATTATCGCTAGATACCATTATCGCTAGGAGTCGCGGGATCTAGATCTGGCAGTTGCACCAATTGAAGGATCAGTCGTTCGTTGTCAGTATTTGCTGTATGCCACAGTACTGACCGGCCTCTTTAACCTCGCTTATTACCATGGTCTTTGAATTTGAAAGTAGAAGATCTATGACCTCGTTTCTCTTAGGGTCCGGGCCGTCGTAGGCCTGGGAAGCTAGAAGGAGTACGCTATTCCATGTAGAATAGCGATGGTTGATGTTAATATGCGCATTATCCAACAGAATCTTCACGGCAACAGGGTCATCATATATCATAGCGAGCTGAAGTACAATCTGGCCTTCGCTACCTTGAATGGCAATATCGAGTCGCGGATCTTTCAGAAGGATCGTCAAGATTTCATATCGTTGATATTCTAAAGCTATCAGAATCGGAACCTGGACTTTCGGACGCCGGCCGTTAACATCAATATCGCGTTGATGAAGTAGTTTTCGAACGGGTCAGCTGCCTTGAGATGTACTGATACTTATATATGAGGTCATGGCTCACGAATGACAGATGGGGCGTGTGCCATATTTTCCAAAGAGGGTGGGGGCTATCTCACTATTTTGGTACCTCGTGTGAAAAAAGAGGGCTCTGTGCTGTATTATGGAATTATTGATTCATTACGGAGACATGCAGGGCCGTATTTGTAGCGAGACGTTGTCACGAGCAACTTCTGATGTGCACTCACATATCTGTAGGCGTGAGCTCTCATAATTGCGGTGATTCGATTGCTAATCTTTCTTCGAGCTCAACACATACATTTATGGATACGCTACAGTCAACAAATTGGTCCCACAGAGCAAGAATCTCGCTATTGGGAGAATAAAAACTCTCTGTCATGGTCTCACATATCTGTATATATGGATAGTGTTGTTCAAAACATCGACAATCAGTCTTAGGTAATTTATAGTCAAGGTTAGACACAAAAAGTGGCGCGAGGAGGCAAAATAATAATAGTTTTCTTGCGGTTAAGACATACCGTTTATATGTATACTTCTTGCCTGTCCCTGGCACACATTTAACGAAGTTCCCAGGATATCGAGGTGAATATTGCTTTGCGCAAGCTCAAAGCTGATGGAGAGGCAAATTTTCCATGGAAACATGACCAACATAATGATTCCACTACTCCCGGGATATCCTAGGGTTCGCTTGTATTCACCGAAGCGTCACCGTATTTATGAGCCTATGTTTCGCCATCAGCACGTGTCGTATTACGAGTATTTGCGTTGACATATACGGTCTCAGAGACAATAATTATATTCATTGGGGCATTCATGCTAGATGGCATTCCTCGCATCGCTCCCTTCCTGCCGTTTCTGGATCATCTCAGTGAAATGCATAGTACCGATGGTTGGTAAAAGGCGACACGCAGGGCCGGAAAAGGCTGCATTTCGTCTTAACTCATTTATCAAAAATGGGTCTTATATTACTAGGAGCCGCTATTCCTGATGCTATTTCAAGGAAATGGGACATTGCACTTGAGGTATTTTTCTATTATTTAAGCCTACGTGATGGGAGAGCTGAATTTAAGTTGAAAAAGAGTCATTTGATAATTTGAAACATCGCTAAAGACGCGAATCTTTATTTTTGAATTCCAATTCCCTCTTTAAAGGCGCTGAACATACTTCTCCCAATTCTTCTTCGAGAAAGTGGAAATTCGTCAAACAACTGAATCTAGTTCTTCCTGACGTGGCAATTTTCTAAACTGCCTGACTTTAACCCTCATTGTTTTCTTCGGGTCATGAAAAACCGGTCGCTAGGTGATCCTGATAACGTAACTTTGGAGGCTTACGAGATTGAATCCAATTCTCTCGCATGCTGTATGAATTAGTTTGCAATACTCTGACCCACTCAATCTAGGATCTGCACTAAAGGCTTACTAATGGACCAGAGAAAGATTCATGGAGTCCGCATTGGGAAGTTTCATTTTGAAGGAATGTAAATGACGTGTCAATATGACACATCCGATGATCAAATATAGTATGCGCCGGGGCGAGCTATGTAGCTCCGAGCTCCTCAACCAAGATCAGCAGATTTCATTGGTCTCTGATTGGCCAACTACTAATACCGGATCGGGAAAACAAGATATCGACTCATCGTATCATTGAATCGTTCCCAGGCTTTCAACTATATTGCACTCTAGCATTATGCCTACAGTATGCACCATGGTGAAATGTTAGCTAGTAAAAGCATTGTTGAGGTTTTTACAGAGCCTGCTGGAACATCCTAGCTTGACAGGGAGGTCGGGAGATCCAGCTAGGAGGACAGTTTAACATTACTGGCAATATTTTTAGCTAATACCACTATTACCTGGAAGAACTAAACCAAATCCAACCCCACAATATCGCGTTGTGAAACTACATAATGATGTTGAATTACCATTACCCACGATATGCCACGAAGAAAGCTCGCCCACCTTACTAGCGGTCTCGGAAACAAAAAATTCTTATCTCACACAGTAAGTCTAGTTTCTTTAGCAAAATTCGCATTTGTGCCAGATATCAGTTACTTGCAAGCTATAGATCATAAGGTATGTGATTACAAGCAGCGAAATGGATGCCAAACAGACGAAATCTGGTCTGGTCTCATGCGAGGATCTAGAGAGATGTCTCCTCGCCATGAAAGAACGAGAGATACGTTGCAACACCTAGCAAATGTGAGAAGGGACTTAAGCAGGTGGCAGCGGGGTATTAGAAAGAGAGAGAGAACAATCCCAATATAACTGTGTAGCTTTTGTGTGCTGTGAGTTGCACTCTGTTTGATTAGAGGTCAGATTCATTTTAAAAACGCCCTGTTTCTTTCACCTGTCAACACCAAAGAGTCTATAGTACACCGTTATATTCTCGCAGTGACGAACCAAAATAAACTATTGACAGTCTTAAGAGACGTTAAAGATACGAATCGGGAACTAAATCCGATGGTGCGGTTTCGTTCCCGATCTACACCGGTCTCATATCACAACATATATATTTGACTGCTAGCCTTCTCGTACATGACGCATAAAAAACATATAAGTATCCCATCGAATATGTGAAAACAAAAGTGTGACTTATCAATCAACAGGTTTATCAAAGCCAAAACCCGCGTTAGGCAAATATATATTATATGATATCAAGACCATAGACATGACCCTTCAACCTGGGAATACAAGCCCACTAAAACTGCTGGTTGATAAGCGATGCTTTGGTGCTCATAATATAGTTGGAGTTGACTGGATGATGTTATGCTAGAAGTCGGCCGATGGCCAAGTATATATGTATGCACGTGCTATCAGTGGCCGTGATCATCTCAGTGACCGTGATAGTCAACAGTGCAAGCCCCGCGATTTATAAAGAAAATGGACGCACCAGATCGCTCTTCATCGACCAAGCGAAAAATTAAAGACAGCGGCAGCTCCCCAAACACTCTGGGGATGACACTACCAACCTGCATGGCCTATTCCGAGAACCTTCGGGCGTGAAAGTATCGACTTCAAGGTCAGGATCTTCCCACTAGCGAAATAGAAGCTTAATTGACATGTTATAGGACACGAACGGCACTGCCAGCCTTTTGACAACCGAGGCCAAGCAGATTCTCCGGATGGGCTCTTCCGTCTCGAGGCCAGCTCTCGACCTACTCGACCTATTCCTACGTCTCTGGCAATGTTATGTTGTCAAATCTGCCGAGACAATCCGACTCGAACGCGAGCGACGTCAAATTTGGCTGTCAAATGACGAGCTAAAAGCCGAAAATGGTCTTCTACAGCAGCGTTTGAATGAGCAAGGGCTGGTACTCTGGGACCGTGGGCGCGCAGCCCACGCTGTTCAGGCTGGGATCATCTCAGTGTTACGGAAGTGTGGTCAATATTCTGACCAGATGAACTGTCTTCAAGGATCAACAAAAGTTGGTGAAGATGCATGAAGGCGAGGGTGCTGGATGATCTTCCCTCACGGCCAACGGGGATGACCGTTAAAACGTCGATGCAGCCGAGAGTTGATTATTAAACCGTTGAGCTTGTGGCTATCCATACCTTGCTCATATAAGACCGCTTGAAATATCAATCGACCTTTGATTAATACGATGTCTGGCTCTGATATGAAGGTTAAATTGGTCTATTGCTCGCCCCATTCCAGCCCACAGGATCGTCGATCTAACATCAATGATCCAGTTCTGCTCTCTCCAACTCTTAGAACTCTCGACTTCCGAGGAAATGAATCATTTGGCCCAAATTGGTTGGTAAAGTCCATTTTACATCACCCATACACGCTTACTTACCGCCATACAGACTTTGTCTCCGATGATGACATCCACGCAGCCTGGCAGGAGTCCTCTAATGTACCCGCTGTACCCCCCTGCCTTGCTACCGACCGCCGCGGATTGAAGCAAAATTCATTTAACTTATCAGGGGTCTCCAGCTCTGAGGTTTACGGGCTATCTTTGGTCGACTGTTTTTTTTTATCCGAATCCTGAAAACCAACAAAGCTTTCCGTGGACAGGTCCGGATCCTCTGTCTCCGTCTACCAGGGCGGAGGATATTTTTGTGTACCTCTCCGCCTTCTTGCTACCAGAGGAAGTCTATTGGGTGGAATTTCGTCTTTCAAGATTTGACTCTCTCAGTGATGAGTTGATGGGTGAGCACACCTTTTTTTCCTGCCACGATTCGAGACAGCGATGGGGAATCTTTCTCGGGTGCGCAATCAGATTCTCGACATAATCTCCCAAGTATGCTCTGCAGCGCAGACACCCCGCTTCCGACTGTCGATGTGGCCCCGCTTGGAACCTCTTCCTTACACTCAGCACTTCATGATGTCGCCGCACTCCACCCTGCCTTCGTTGCCATGCCTTGATCCGGGGTTCTTCGTCCATAACATCTGCGGAAATTTCAGATAGAATTAGCAGTTGAACTAAAGATACATACCTAATCAAAAATACAACGACTTGACATGAGTACAAATGGTAATTTGGGGATACTCATCCTTTCAAATGAAATCCTCTTTAATTCTTGGACTAAAGATAAGGCCAAATCGTGCTAAGAAAATGCCGCTACTGGCACTTCATTCAAGTTCCCTTTGCTCTATTCTTTAGGAAAATTGTCTCGAGAGATCAGCATTTGGGGTTTGAATGTAATATATCTCTATTATAATTTTTTCTTATAAGCCTGATTTCGCCTTTCCGTTTATCGAAAACTCCTTGATTTCTCATTCCTTCACTTCATTATAAGAGTAAGAATCTAGTTGTATTCGAGGATCTATTTTTTGCCTGCCTCTTGCCTGTATTCTGCCTGCATAACCTCCGCAATATTCCCTGCTAACGGATACGAAAAAGATACCAGAGGCTGATGAGACTGGTCAAAATCACGAGGCCACCAAGTACAATCTGACCAATAGCTCCATGGTATATGATGCTGCAACGAGGGAGGGAGCCTCGATCATCGAATGCTGCGGAAATGTCTAGAAATCCATGCATCTGGTCCATAATATACCCAAGCAAAGTCAGGATATCCACTCCGAAGGGTACCTGGGCGAAAAAGAAGTTGACAAAGGCAGTCCTGCCTTCTCGTATCCACCTTGACTAGACCAAAAGTGCAGGGCCAAACAGTGAAAGCATGGCCGAAGAAAGTGCGATAATGATTATTGCCTTGCAAAAGTCACTCATGAGTTTTCGGAATGCGCCGCGAGGATGGGACTGTCGTATTCAATGAGGCCAGCTGTTGCCTGGTCTCTCAAAGTATAGTATCTGCGTAGCGAGCTGTGATGGAATTAAACGCAGCTACGAGCAGCCAGTTCGTGGCGAGGGGAAAGACACCGAGACGAATTAGAATCCGGGATGCATCTATATATTGAGACATGGTGTAGTTCAAAGCAGGGAAACCGAGATGAAGTCTAGCCAGAAGCTTAAGCTGCACAATTTCAGGGATTCAATCTAGGCTCAGAATGAGTTGGTAAAAAGAGATGGGACAATAAGACAATTATTTGGGAACCAGCGTATAAATACTTTCCATATATTCCAGAGGCATATGCGAGTGCATCATCCTTGCAAGCTCTCACATCACAATAGGTAGGTTGCCTACAATTTCTTTCTTGCTCCAGCTCGTCAATCCATGGCTGCTGTAGAACCATATTATCCTAGGAGCAGACAAGGAATACCATTCAGCCCAAGCTACTGAGATTATCGGAAAACAAGATAAGTTTATCATTCCCCAGAAGCATTATTGCTCCAAGGAATCGGACGTAACTTTCTAGGAGTTATTTCTGAGATGGCAATGCCTAGAACGAATAGATATTTTTGCTACCCACTGTTTGCACATTTAGCTTCATGCCAGGGTGTTATTTCTTCTTTTACTGTATGATGGGTGCCCTGAACAGTTGGTGGATGCTCAAAATGCCCGCATTGCAGCAAACCAGTTACTTTCGAGGGACAGCCTTTGACAGGATTGTACAGAAAGAGATGAAATGCTTCAGTTCCATACCCGAGTAGCGAGTGTCTAGTAACTTGAGATATATTCCAGTAGTTCTATTTGGAGGTAGCACTTTGCTGGCTCGGAACCAGCACTATGTTCCACCTGTACCTAATGAGCATCACTAGTCTCGTTTGAGTGGTGGTTCACGAAGAATGCGAAATCTCTAGATCTTACTCAAGACCCACCAGCCCAGTCTGCTCCCCGCGAGAGTACTGGCTCCAGTCATTGAGAAAGCTGGTCAATCGCTGTCGAGACAATTCCAACTCTCGGTCCAAAAGAAGCAATCGAGACTGCTGCTCGTCATGGTGGAGTTCAAGTACATATGTATCTTTCATTGTTCAGATCCATGTTAGCCTCTCGCAATTTTTCTTTGTTCTTTTCGAGGCTCTCGCCATCGAGGTGCTTGGACACGCAGGACTCCTATAGGCGTCGATAGATACCCAAAATTCGCGCTTCTTGGAAGCCTAACTTTGGATCGTCCCGCTCAAGGTCTGCCAAGGCGCTCAGAACGCGCTGAAAAGGCTCGTTCACCAAGGTGACTCGCTCGTCTGTTATCTACAACGAGTGTGACATACGGTTGTCAGTCAGAATAGCCGACGCGATTGGGAAGACACAATTACTTACCACAAGGAATACTTGCCCGGGCTGGGGGACCAGGGTTGGTAGGATAGCCGCAGTCTGGCGTGCGATCCGAGGGAAACTCAGCTAACTTACTCTCTTCCGCGTCTTGCCCGATTTGAATGTCTTTTGTGATATCCATGTCAACCATGCAGAAAAGTAACTTTAAATTTCGCGGATGATCGGGGGAACTTTTTTCTGTCAATCTCTCTTTTATAGATTTATCATAGACAAGCGGAGAGGTAAATGGAATCGAATTCCCTAGTGGTGAACCAGGATCATATTCAAGGCAGTTGGTTCGTGCGTCGTTGTTAGTTCAGCGATGACAGTTCAGCGATGACAGTTCAACTTTGATGCCTCCAGAGGCCCATGATTCCGACGGTAAGTCAAAGATTGGTAAGATACCCAATTTGCCAAACCCTCAATCGGTGAAGTGATTGACCGATATTTCAGCAATTAGGTCTGTCACTCAACGAATAGTGCAGAAGCAACTGATTATCATACACACGGGCCTAACTTCATAAGATGTTGGTGGGAAAAAATACGATAGGCGCATGAGGGTGACAGTCATCATCGCACATGGACATATCTCCCAGATTTAGCCACAGGCCAAATATTTTGAAAGAACAAGCCAGTCTACGTCGGTCATTTACGCGCCGCTAGTTTGTCTCAATGAGACTATTCTTAACCAATCAAACAGTGGCCTCTTTGTTGGCCAAGAGACTAGCGCTGTTAGCGCTGGTACTTGAACTGTCTTGAGGCGTCTCCAGACTTTCTTTCACTTGAGCTAGATAGGTCCTGCCACGTCCAATAATTAAATTCGAAGATTTACATGGTCGGAATTTAACATGATGTTTCATTGCATTTGTTCTGGCTGCTGTAAACCATGATTAGAACATTGAACCTTTACCGAAGTCAGCTGCGGGCCTAAGAGCCTTCAGAGGCTTGGACCACAAATAAGTACGTGCCCCGGGGCTAAAAACATGGATATCCACTTCCCAGGCTCCCCGAAATTAACGATCGTCGGGGCTCTTACTTGTGAGGTGGATTACCTGGTCCTTGTAGCGTGCTCCACCACTCGATCGACTTTCGTGGTCGCGGAACACGATTTCTGGGATATGCCGACGACCCAAAAATTGTCTGTTTCCATCCTGATCCGTGTCACATGCATAGCTTGTAGTATCGCATGGTTTTTGTATTAATAAAAAAGTGGTAAAACGCGCAAGCATGACTGAAGCCTAGATTGAGGGCTATGTCTTCTAATGCGTGTGACTGCTTCGGTGTTCCTTCAATCACCAACGGCGCTTAGAGTCTCGTTGTCATTGCAGGAATACACACCCAGGAATCATGTGGCTCCCTTGTGACAGTGCTTTCCGTCGAATATTTGCACTTCAAGGCGATCAGAAATAAGACGAGGCGAACTTGAGATACATATACCTGACCTAGCCTTCTTCGAAGCAGGTTGTCGGTAGATCCCCGTTTACCCCGGTGTCAAATTTGGACTACTCAAGTTTAGAAACTGACTCCTGAGCCGATACTCGGCTGGGAACCTTTTATCCGTGCCAGGGTTGAGAAAAGCGCTAAGCTCAGGCGGTCGGCATGAACCATGGTTCCAGGGAGAGCGCCCCTCATTCAAAATGCGACCATAGAATATCGCCTAAATTATTGGATGTCTAAGATTTACCATGGTTCTCTTGCCAATACTAAAAATCAGTACGACTCGAATTTACTTGTGCCTTGAATGACGAGGCGGTACTTTGGGAGCATCGAGTGTTTTTTCATCATGCTGTGAGACTAAGAAGCTGATTTAGAAAACTCACCCTATGATCCGTCAAAGAGTTTGGTGGGATAGGGCGAAGTAGGTTACGCAAAAAAAGACCAAGCTCCAAAGGTCCGGAGACTAAATACATGTCATGAGGGCGGGTACGGAACACAGTGGGTGAAATCGTGATGGTAGCTCGTGGATAGGATTGCTTCGCTAGAATCCCCGGCTAGCTTCGTGTAGCTTGGCGGAATCAAAATAGAGATAGCGCCGTAGCATCCCGACAGGGCTTCAATGGCTAAGTGTGTTGGGGGCCAAAATTGTTCATTGGATTTAAAAAGTCAAAGTCACGCATATCATAAAGGCACAGCTTAGAGACCTATGCCTTGTGCTCTTTGAGAGGGAAATCGACAAGCATTCGCCTCCTTATACTCTCTCCACTTGTGTATACCCTCTAATTCGATACCATGCCAGCTTCAACCCTATCCAACCGGAAGTCAGATGACTCGGCTCGACCCGTGAAGAGGAGACGTCTCCGGGACGAGATCGACACTATACTTTCAGTGAGTCACCAGATATCCGTCCATTCGCCGTTCTAGAAGACTGACTGATCCTACTGGGAATCTGATGGCACGATTGAAGACCACCAGCTTTGCGACTATTTGATCGAAGCAACTACCGACTCGAACATAAGGCTGAGATCCGAGTTGGTAGAAACCCGGGAAAAGCTTGCAAAAGCTCAAGGAAAATATGATGATTTGGAATCGAGTCATTTGCAGTGTCCCTACTGGATACAAAGAAACGAATCTCTTGCTTTGACTTCGGACGATCGTTGCGAAAAGTTAGAGAAAGAAAATGAGAAACTCCAGAAGATGTGCGATGGGTTGAAGGCGGAAAATAGACGCCTCCGGAGACAAGGTAGCGTGGAAGACGTCGATAGTGAAGGGGAGGAAATGCACGATGTCTAGTCATTGCTTCAAGAAGGGGGTCTAAGTTAAATCAAGCAAGTCTCATTCTCCGTCTCACACGCGTCAGCGTTTGGAATGTTTAGCATTTTGTAAAAAGTAGTCACATGAGGTCAAGGTCTCAGACTTGTGCAGTACCACTTCTTGTAGACTTCCTCCAAGCTTTGTTCTCGAGGAACGATAACAACACTCATTCCTTTTGAATATCCGTTCGCATCCTATTTGATCCGGTCTTGAAAACGCATCCTCAAACGATGCAGGATCAGCGTCCTTCAAACGCGAGATTTTCAGCGATCCGGTGACATACAGCTTGTGTAGCGTCCCCAGGGACGGCCAAGAAGGTCGTCGCCTCCAAACGCATGTAAAACAGCCAAGCCTCCATTTAAACTGTAGCTGATGCTTTATTAGAATGTTCAGTGAAAGCGTTTCTCTAAGACTCAAGATTGGCACTTCCTTTCCTTCGTAAGAGGCTAAAGGCGATGACGGTGGCTTAGGCAAGCAGTGCATAGAGAGCGCACAGTTTGTGGAACGATAAGTGATATATAGCCGTTGTCCGGGAAGTCTTTGTCCGTTTCTCCCATAATGAATGGCGCCACCGAGGTTCTCTCGTCGAATTCGGCCTCATATCGTAGATGGTCACAACGCATCGAGCAATTCAAGTGTGTCTAGGAGATTTCTTTTGACTGTCGAGCTAGCTGGAGGAACTAGATCGGCGAAAAAATACCGATTAGCGCCGTTGCCTCTCATTTAATCTCTGAAGACGGGCTTTCGGTGATACAGTATTAACTTTATCTTGTGCCAATCGTGGGGCGAGAGAGATCCGGCCTGAATATGATGCGAGCGAAGATTCGTCTTCGTAAGCCAATTCATATTTTCGACAAGACAACATTCTCGGCCTCGGATCTCAGATTCAAATACTGACAGGTGGTTTTTGTCCTCTACGCAGGACTTGAATGAGTAAAATACCTGGATGAAACCCAGCTTTAACTCAATGTTTGGGTAAACGACGATGAGAGGGAACAGCCTGCCGTGGCTGCACTTGCACCATGCCTGACTTCAGGAGGATTTTCTGTAGAAAATCAAAAAGACGACAGAGAGTCTCTGCGCCATAGTTGTCGCCGACGCGAAGGCATAATTCGATGGCAGCACAATTCTTATCAAGCAGTCTATCTCTGTCTTGGGCTAATCGATGAACAGCGGCGTGGCGAATGCCGGCGATCGAATGGCGCAAGTTCTGAACAGTGGTGATATTTTCACGGTGTTGCTCAGACGAGATCTTTGATCGGTTTCTGGCTAAGAGTTGGAAGAACTTGTGCAGCTCCAATGCCTCGGGGCATGTCCAACCAACCGCCAAAGACTGTGGTAAAAGCCATTTTTGAACACATTGGAGGCGGAATGCTCGAGGTCGCGTTGCAGCGTTTGGAGGATCATATGTTGCGCTCGAAAATGGATAGGCATCTTATGCTGTCCTAGCATGGGAGACAAAATCTCTATAAACTCTACCGATCATAATTAGCGAAGGCACGCTAGTCTCTTCTTTTAGCTTACCCTTAGCTTTCAGTCCCCGGCTCTGTTTCAAAAAGAATTTCAAGGACCTTCGACAGTCAATTATGGAACTATTCCATTTCGAGAGAATCGCGAGGTGATTTACCGGTAGCTGATTGACCGTGGAGACCATGCATGCTGGACAGCGGCGGAGTCTCTATTGGGGCGCGACGAAATCATGTTCCGACGACGGAGTCGGCGTCGACATCTCTTCATCGATGGTACCTCGGCTGGCTTGTAGGTGTGGGCACACGAAGTATCCTGGTCGTTCTGTGCTGGCAAGTGAAATAAAGATTTGGGCGGCATGAGGCGTTGCAGTGGCTGCGACTTGCGGCGGAAAATATGTCGGCTAGGCTGAGGGAAACCATTCTTCTCTCACGGTGGCGAGGGCAAAAGGTTTGCAGACAGAAATTTCAGTGGGCGGGCAAGCGATCTGCCAAGGCGAGTCTCCCATGGAACGACTCTACATATTAGCTGCGTGAAAACCGTTTCACATCGTTGAGCAATGTTGAGACCAATGATTCGCAAATCGATTGGCCACGGTGCGAGCGAATACTGGCAGACTTTTCAAGCTACGATGATTAGGATGCCACGGCGAGTGGTCCATGGAATGCCACTTCGATCTACAACTCATACCAACTGCGTTAAAAGCCGTTTCATCATTGTCAACAACGTTGATGAGGCAAATGATTTGTCACGCATCGCATCGTGTCAACCACGGCTCCAGGTGGATCCAGCCACTCCGCCCGCTCTCCACTCCAAACTCTTGAAATTTCTTATTTCAACGTTGATAAACAGCCTCAACGGCCAGCGAAAATGCGACCGCCCGGTGCGAATGTCGAGTGGAAATCTCTGGGTCCGGCAAAATGTACGCAAGTGGTCGCTGCCGAAGGACGTATCCGAAATGACATAAAAGACGCTCTTTTCCCGTCGAAAAGAAAAGCAGGACTTTCCTCCTCACACTCCCGGGCAGTCGGGTTTTCTTCGCAGGATAAGCTCTGCGATATCAAGTGTGCTTCGCAGGATAAGCTCTGCGTTACCAAGTGTGCTTCGCAGGATAAGCTCTGCGATACCAAGAACTCTTCGCGGGAAACGCCCCGCGTCATCAAATTTGCCTCGCAGGGGGACGCTGCGTTACCAAGGGAGACCCGCAGGGAAGTGCTGCGTCAACAAATTCTCCCTCGCAGTGATGAGCCCTGCGATTGTAAGAGTGCGCTCCCTCATAGCCAATGAGCCCTGTGTTGTATAAATGCGCTCCGCGGGGACTACCGCGACATCAAGAGCCTCCGCAGGGGGACGCTGCGAAACCAAGGGAGACCCGCAGGAGACCGCTGCGATACCAAGTTCTCCGCAGGAGACCGCTGCGTCACCAAGTTCTCCGCAGGAGAGTGCTGCGTTAACAAGTTCTCCCTCACAGCCCATGAGCCCTGTGATTGTTGTATAAGTGTGCTCCCTCACAGCCAATGAGCCCTGTGTTGTATAAATGTGCTCCGCGGGGACTACCGCGACATCAAGAGCCTCCGCAGGGGGACGCTGCGAAACCAAGGGAGACCCGCAGGAGACCGCTGCGTCACCAAGTTCTCCGCAGGAGAGTGCTGCGTTAACAAGTTCTCCCTCACAGCCCATGAGCCCTGTGATTGTAAAAACGTGCTCCCTCACAGACGATGAGCCCTGTGCTGTAGAAACGTGCTCCCTCGCAGCAATGAGCCCTGCGTTGTAAACATGTGCTCCGCAGGGACGCCTGCGTTACCAAGAGCCTCCGCAGGAGAGCCGCTGCGACACCAAGTTCTCCCTCACAGCCCTGAGCCCTGTGATTGTATAATCTTGAGCTTCCATGCAGCCTTAAGCCCTGCGTTATCAAATTTGTGCTTGTTAGGCGACCCGTGGCGCCGCGGTCCTCGTCCTGATCCTCTGGCGATTGCAGGCACCTCTTCGTGGTGTCAGAGACTAGTATTCGAGGGTCCTCGAAGAAGCCAAGACCTGCTCCAAAGAATCGATAGAATCAAGAATCCAATAAGAAATGGTGTAAAATGACTTCCGTATCGTATTTATATGCCACCGTAATGGTAGCGCTCAACCATGCCCTGAGCTTCAAGAATAGACATACTCCTCCATGCAGTATGAATCAGAGTATCGAGTCATGGCTGATAGCGGGGTGGCCAATCTGGATAGCGGCTGTAATCTAAGGTAGTTCATTTGCGTGAATGTTTGTCTCTGCTGGCTGGCAGTGGCAGCAGGGTTTGCCTGGATGTATGGAGATGCGGAGTTTCGACGGTGAGTGGTTGGTGTGCTGGGGTGTTGATGGTGAGGGCATGTTGACGATGAAGACATGTTGACGGCGATTGACGGTGATTGACGGTGATGGATGGTGTGCTGATGGTGAGGGCCAAAGGTGAGTGAGGGTTGAGAGTGAGAGCTGGTGATAACGGGGCAGTGGGTCCCTCTGTTGATGTGCAGTGCGGGTGACTCCCGGGCGGTGAAGTGGCGGCCAAAGGTAAGCACCCATCCCCGTCATAGTGGGGATCTATGTTCCTCACGAATGCAAAAGTTGATAAAAAGTGTGAAATGATGATATCTACATACTGGATTCGATATGATAGTAAATAATTTGGTCGCTTTTCTGTATGGCATTCTCTCGATTCGAGCTTCATCGCGTGCTCTCTGGCCATATTCTGTACAATATCTGAAATGGTGTTGCCGTATGCTGATTCAATACCAATATATATATTCCCAACCCAATCCTATTAGGTACATTATCGGCGGTAAAATCGGCAAGGAACTATTAGCGTACCAGCGATAGAAAGACTCATTCTTCTAAGTATACTTCATTTATCATTTGGACTCGGCCTGACCGAATGAAGGACACTTCTGGAGCTCGAAACGCTGATCTTGCCGGATGTGTGCCCAGAAGAACGCGGGGTGTCATTACTTGGAATGTGGTGGCTATAATGAAGCAAAAGCGTCGCCTGCAGCCTTTCTCGCTGCGTGGTCTAGTGGAATTTCTTATTTGCTCTCTGTAGCGGCACGGGTTCGATTTCCGCAGGGTGCATCAATTGAAATTGAGTCAGAGCGACGGAACTTGCTCATGCGGCCCACCCGAAATCGCAGCCACTTTGTGTTTCCGATTCGTTTTCCGAGCATTCGCTCTACGGACCCGATTGACCTTCCCGCCAAAGTCAGCTACCGGCGGTATGAAATTGAGTATGAAATTGATGGTCATCGAGGATCTGCCGCACCAGACTCATCTACGGGGGGCCAAGGCTGGGTGCACTGGAGCGTCGCGTAGAACACCCGTCACGCCCACTCTGAGAGTACCACCAGCGGCTACGTTCGAAGTCAACAAGCACGTCTTCTCCACTAATATCACAAACTGAACTGGCATCTTTCGAATATCAATTGGGCCATTGTGACCGTCTCGGCAATCGACTGGCTGTACTTGCAAGACAGCTTCTGCTGGC